ACACCACCCCACCACCCCCCCCCCCCCCCCCCCCGTTTGCAGGTATTTTTTCGTTTGTAAATCTCATTGACCTTGTCATTTGAAAAGTAGATCTCCGAACGAAAAATTGTGGCCGCCCCTGGTGTACAGCCCTTTGTCGATAAGCAAGCGTTACTGTGTTTGTTTTTGATTCACTCCCACATGTTAAAATATGTACCTGTTTACTTGTCAGAAACTGATGCCCTCTGTAAATGAGTTTAATGTATCTTTGGGTCTTGTCAGTTCCTGTCACCATCAGCGCTCTATTTGGTGTCATATGTATGTCTGCTTGTAAGCAATAGTGATGCGCGTGGTCTTGGTGTGAACCCAGTTCACCAGAGTTTGCCTAAGCCCAAGCAAAACTGTTACTGACACACATCCCCTCCCGACCCAATAAGTTGCAGCTGGGACATTCCCTGCCCCGCAGCTACACATTACAAAGGCGTGGGGAATGCCACTGCCGCAGCTGATTGGGCTGGGGAGCTATTTACATTTCTGTGCGGGCTTGGGCCATCTCTGACAAACTTTGATATTGAAGCCTGCAAACATCATTAGTATGTAATAGGTTTTTTTTTCTTGATTTTTGCCTCAGTTGAATGTTTGTGCTTTCTTTTTTCAGGAAAGTAGCTGTCCACAGTTCTACGACCCACAGCCACTTTTTATCCCAATGGATAAGAGGACTACCATCACCTTTAGTGGGAAGAATCTTGAAAATTTTCGGGTAATCATATGACACTTCAGTCTTTTCCATCTAAAAGCTTTTTTTTTGGATTTCTAGAGTTCCTCCCACACTCAACCCTGTTTTTAGTTTTTTTTTCTTTTTTTCAGTAACTGCCTTTTTAATCCTACTTGAGCACACATTAGGTCTAAGGTGTTGATAAAGGGGTGGGGGTGAAGAATAGTGCCTGAATTCTCACCACTGAACTTAGAAGAATTCGTTTTAGCAATCTGGTTACAGGCATTAATACAATGGTCATACAATGCAGCATTGTCGCCCCTGAAGAGTCATTGGCCTAATGTTGTAAATAACCACCAATAAAAATATATACAGTTAATAAGGAAATTTAACAATCTTGACTTTGTATGTTTAAGTGTCTGTATCTTCTGTGTTTTGATCTCCGTTTTCTTTTTCTTTAATAGTTGGAAAGCTTCACTGCTGGTAATGATAACTCCAATCCTAAGCTGAGGTTCTCGGAATCTGTACAGAAAGAAGGTGACCAGTTCTCACTTCCCCTTCCACCGGTATGTGTTTGGTTGATGATTCATCCTAATTGCAGCAGCTATGGGTACTTTTATTTTTCCATTAATAAAATTATTATTCAGGTTATTTCCTCACGCCGTGTCCAACAAATGTCAGTATAGAGCAATTATTTTCTATAAATTAATTTTTCTCTGCATCGGCTGGACTAAGTAGTCGTTTTACTTGTAATGCATTTGAGTACAGAAGCACTGCTAAACATTTCATCTTTTTATTTATCAAATCACTCAAGTACTGTAAAAGCACAGATGTCCATCCACTTCCAGTGTGATCTACTTTAGAGCTGTTTTCTGTAGAGCTGTAATTAAAAATGTGCTTGTGGGCATTAATCTACTCCTGTGAACTACTGTAAATCGATGTGTGTTTTTAGTATTTAGGCAGCTGTTTTTGAGCTGTGTGAAACTTTGTGTTTTGGAATAAGTTGTGGCAAGATTCAATGATTAATACTTGGTTAAATGATTGTAAAATGACAAACAGCAGCAGAACATTGTCCCAATATTTTATGGTTTTTGGGTAATATGTCCATTTTTTCAATTGTTTGTGCTCTGATCATTAGCAGATATTTTATTTTTCCACTATATTTGTCCCGTGTTCTATGCAGTTGTTTGCAGAGAAAGTCTGGAAATTCCCCAGCCATTTTTCAGCCATTGGTAATAGTTTTTAATAGGGCTGCAACTAATGGTTATTTTCATAATTGATTAGTTGGCCCGATTATTTTTCCGATTAATTGGATTTAAAAAAATGACCATCCTTGATTAAAAATTAAATACATAAATGCAGTGTTACAAACAACGTTTACTTCAGAATAAAACTGCTTGCACAATTTTTTTGCAATAGCACTACACTGGAATGCATGGTATTGCTGTACCATGTGTTTCAGTGCGGGCAATCACAGTGTGGGAGGGAGGTGCATTTGGTGTGCTATTTAAGTGAATGGCACTGCAACGCACCTCCCACAGCAGAATTTGTCAGGCGAAACTGAAATTGACTTTTTCCCACCTTTTTAATAATAATTTTTTATTTTTAATAATTGTATTGTAGGCACATGGCGCTTGAATAGCTTCAGCCGGGGAATGACAGCTGCCAGTGGCAAGATTCCGCAGACGGCAGCTGAATGTAAATACAGCAAGTAGTGGGATCGTGCAATAGCCAGCCTGCTATTGGCCATTTCAAATTGCAATAGCCAATAGAAGGCTGGCTATTGCACCCAGCTCACTGCTTGCTGTGCCCTCCTCCCAGCATGGAGGAGAGAGCTAGGGGATCCAACCAACTAATCGATAATGAGAATAAATTACAACAATTCTCATTATCGATCGATTAATCAATTAGTTTAGTTGGTTGCAGCCGTAGTTTTTACATGTAGAATACTGGAAGGTCCTTCATGTTCACTATATATGCTTCTGTACTATTTGTTCAAGAACTCTAATTGACCCAACTGACTGCACACTGTAGTACTTAATACATGATGACATGTAGCAGGATGCCCTGCTTTATGGCAAGTGCTTTTCTGTCATAGTATGTAGAAGATGCAATATTCAATATACTTGCAACAACTGCAAGTATTTAGCTTTTTTTTTTTTATTTGCCAATGGCACCAATTTAAATGGAATGTTTGCCATCATTAACATATTGCATAATTCTGGACCCCACAGTCCTCAGTAAATTGTGATATGCAAAAATAGGACTCTGATAAAGCTGGCACCTATAGTCTATCTTGTGTATGCGCCCAGATGTGCATAGGATACCAGGCCTGGTCCTAGAAAAGCCAGGCCCTAAAGTGGATTTGTCACACTCTGTAGTGAACAGATTGTTGAGGAATCCAAGGGGTCTAATTATTGGTGTTTTGAAGATCCTAAGCTCTTAAAGAATTCAACTGCATTTAGTAGAGATGCTGTCCATGCCAGTGTGTGGTTAGCAGGGCCCTACATGCTTCACTTTATTCTGTGCTGATAGAAGAGCTACGTTTTATGTGCACAAAGTGTGGGGGTAATTTAGAAGGGTCTTAAGCCAGGCACACATATACTTCACATAAAACAAAGTGGTGTCATACAGTTTCTTTTCTTTTTTTCCCTTCTAGTTTTCGGTTCAAGACAAAGAGATCGTTCCTCTGGATATATTCATTTTGTATGAAAAAACGAAGGTTGATAGCAAACTTAATGGTATGATAGTTTTGTTTGTAATTGTATAGAGTTCTCACCATTGCAGTGTGGGTTGAATTCAGTGGTGGTACCAGTCAGGAAGTTTCACTCTTTGCCCAACAAAGGACTTTGTTACAACATCTAAGAAAACAAGTGGTTGCTGACAGAGTTCAAGGTTCCAAGTAACAAAGTAAAAAAACAAAAATCCACCAGGGCTTAGGGTCCACATATTTCAAGCTCTGCGATTCCTAGTTCCATATGCAAGTTAATTCACAGAAATCTGTACTGAGAAATATGGGCATTGCTAACCTTTTTCTGAAAATTGTTTTGGTTAGGCTGTCCTCTGGCATTATTATTTTGCAACCTTCAAACTGAAAAAGCATGCAGATCAGGAGAGTCAGGGACCCTAATCTGATTACTTGCCCTCAGTCAGTGACTTTGAAAGCACTAAAGCTATTGAACCAGAACAACAACCAGGTAACTAGTATCTTAGCAGGTGAGGTAGCCTCCATACATCATTAGTGCAGGTAAAACTGACATAAGAAAAACATGGAGGGAAGCTGTTACTTGAAGTCCTCCCAAAAATGACTGGAATTATAAAATCTTGTACTGGTATTGTTTCCCAGGTCACAGCAGTGTGTTAAAACATGGCGTCTCAAAAAAGTCAGTGGGTTTTGACCCACTAGCATCAACTTAAAGCAATAATAATGAGTTTTGTGGATGTTTACCCTCTAAATTACTAGATGGAGGGGGAAATTCTCTGCATGTTCATTTTTTACTCTGCAACATGCATGTAAATCTGTGTATATCATTACGTGCTACAATTATGGAATAAGGCTCTTGGGGTCCTCTTGTGTTTTCTCTATTTCATGTAAAATGTTTACATTTTTCCACAGCAAAATGAAACCACTTAAAGCTTTATAACATGTAGAAATCCAACGTATTACTATGTGGCTAACTCACATCTATACACTGCAACTAAATGTTTTTTTTTATTTTTAAATGGAAAAAAGTGTTTTTGGTGCATCTTAATAGATCCTATTTACTTTTCATCATTGCTCCACCACTTTGCACATCACACAAGCACAAGTATGTTCAAGATGCACATTAAAGGATGTGTGAATAAATGTAGTAATATGTATCATATAGCTGTGGTTACTGCATGCACAAAGGTAAGAAAGGTCTCTATGGAGTTGTATCAGAACCTTATGATTGTGAAGAGGTTAAACCTAATTCTGTGTTCTCCTATGTCTCTCATTTAGCTAATTATATCATTTTTTGTTTTGTTTTTTGTTTGTTTTTCTCTAGTAAAATTGTACAATTGTTTTTTTGGAAGAAGTGACTGCAGCTTGTGCCTGGCCGCCAACGAGGAATACCAGTGTGTTTGGTGTGACAACAAATGTGTTTATAAAGAAATGTGCAGAAGTGTGCATACATCAGAGTGTCCTTCTCCTGTCATCACAGAGGTAAGAAGCCAATACATGTCTCATATATTTGTACAATGTTCTGCACCTTGTTAAGTAGTGGTATCCCCTAAGTACTGATGTACCCCTCCCCTCCAATCCATGAAGACGTACCTCACACTGTTATACTGCCTTTTTTCTTCTTTATGTATTAGATGTACAGTGTATTCTTGTTGGCTTCTGAATCCGAGAGACATAGTGAAATGTCTTACCTGGGTAGAACAGTTTTATCAAACAGATTTGGTGTATGGAAAATTGTTTGGCACCACAGATGTAAAAGACTGATGCATTTCCTTCTTTGTTCAATTTTGTTATGTCCTCCAACTGGCTTAGGCAATTAGTGGTGTTCCCTAATGAATCTGTAGCCCCATTTTTCATATTCCTATTCTGAAAGCCGTATTCACACTTCCAGGTTGCTTTAACCCACATAACATGATGTTACTACATTGTGGTGCCAATGCAACCCAAGCCACTAAAACAACACACTTGTAGCATGATGCAATGAATAGTAGTTTGTTGATTATGAAAAAAAAATGTAATTTAAGGCATTTTAAGCACACTGGGGTGTGTTGGCATTTTGAATGGGCTTTCTTAACGCAACACACCTTAACGTGCCACTTTGATGCAAATGGGCCCTTAGAGTTTATCTAAAGACAAACATTTTTTTTTCAGTTTTGACATGGTATCAGTTTAGATCCTTTATGTTTTTGTTGCCGTCTCTGTCCCCATTGCTTAGGTTTACACACTCTATTTTCTCTAGTGACCACTGTAATCAGGAGTAAATGTGAGGGAAAACTCAAACTTTTGAGTTGTGAGAACAGAAATAGAGGGAACATGGTGACACTTGTTCTCATGAGAACTGTCTAGGAGTGCATTTCTCTCACTTCCTGTTACGTCTAAAGGACAGGAAATTAAGCGAAATCTCCTAAATAAGGCGCAATGGTGAAAAGAAACTACCAGGGTTAAAAACCTTCCCTACAAAAAAATTGTTTTTAATTTAAAAAGAATTTTAAGTGCGTTTCCACTTTTATAGCCAAATTGGGATAACACCTAATTTATATTTGTTGCATGTTCTCATTCACATAGCATAACCTATTTCATAATTAGAAATTGCAGCCTACATTTTACTCTCTCTATACTGAAAATTCTAAAACTGAAGATTTTGCTATAAATAACCCTGTCTGTACTTTGCTGGCAGATCTCATTATTAGTTGTAAACTAGATTTAAACACTCTGTCCTAACAAAGGGTTGAAGCTTGTACAGTATGTTGATAAGGGAAATGCAGACTGTCCCTATATAGTCCCTCTCTACTCTCACTTGAAACTGTTCAGAGTAGCCTGTTCCAAACAGCTAGCAAGCCAATAAACGCTTTTTTTTTTTTAATGACTTTTAGATATGCTGTGTGACTGGGAAAATATAACAAACATATAGTGGAGATTCCTCATATGTTGACTGCAAAAGTGCAAATACATTTTAAGGCTCACATTAATACAGCCTGTATGTGTGTCCAATGGTCCTATAGGAAGTAAAATGTCCTATATTTCTTATTATGGTTAACAAAATTATGCATTTAAATGTGCATATGATACAAAAATGTCCTTCCTGGAAAGATGGTAGTGTTGTGAGCAGCTTACCAAATGTTGTTATAATGATCGACAGCCACAAAATATTTGTTCTTCTCTGTCAGAGAGTAAATCTGCCCTCCATCTTTATATATTTGTCAGATTTATATTGTTTTTGACCATTTTAGGTAGTTGACAAAAAGTTTGTTTAGAATTAGATTTTGATATAAAGCAAGGTAAAGTGCATCTAAAGCCTACTTTTTTGTAGTGAGGTGTTAGAAGGCCCGTCAGGTTTTATGGCTGTCTGTGTGCCCACTGAGAAGATTCACACTCTCTATTAATCTTGGAGGTCACTGTCACCAGGGCCGAAAGTGAAGGAAAATACAAAATGTTATGTTTTCTTCACTGGAACAGAGGGTAACACTTCCAGTGAGGACACTTGTTCCAGTAACAACTGTCTAATTAAAGATTTCCTTTTGCTTTTTTTTTTTTACAGCAATAATTTAATCTTAAAATCATCTCCGAATTGGTGCTGACACTGTCCTTCCTTCTGGAAGGTGACTACTTTTGTTCCCCATGGTCCCTGTGTGTGTTGTAAATTAGCCACCGCTCCAAGCTCACTCCCATCATGGACTACAATCTCACATTTAGTTTGCTATTTGTATTGAGATTGTAGTCCATCACGGGAGTGAGCTTGGAGCGGTGGCTACTTTACAACACACACAGGGACCATGTGTGTGTAGCCACCGTCCAGAAGGAAGGACAGTGTCGGCAACAATTCAGAGATGATTTGAGGATCTACAGCTGAGTGATACACAAATAAGATACATTATTGTTAAAACTTAGGATTCTTGAGTGCATTTTTAAGATGTACCTCACGAGTTTAATGTCACTTTAAGTAAATTTAGTTACTAGCTAATGGTAATCCTTTTACCCATGGCCATACTACAATCAATACAACACACAAAATGAAAACGCAATAAAATAGCATTTGTTTTCTTTTTGAGCTGTTTTCCTTTCTGGAAGCCCTGCTGTGTTTTCCTTCATTTAACATGGATCAATATTGCTTCTTGGCAATATGTTAAAAGAAGAAAAAGTTGGAGGACTGCTCGCCTGTACTGTACCCATCAGAATGCTGAGCTTGTACGGCATATAAATGATGATCTGCAGTGATTAGAAGTCTGCAGCATGTTGCATGTCACCACACTCAGCGTGCTGTTTCATAATTCATGCTCGTCAATTGCCTTGTGGGTCAGTGAAGCAGTAGATGAAGATAAAATACCCTTATATTCTGTTAAAGATGTTTTTTTTTGTTTTTTTAACTTAATCCTGGTATGATAAATGTCAGTCATGCTGAATGTGACATTGCCCTACATCATATGTAAGTGTATATAGCTTTTCACAGATCAAGTACCGTGTCATTTATGTAAAGCTTGCATTGGTGGAAATGAGGTTATATGTTTATGCTTAATATCAATTAAAATCTTTTTCTTTATCTCCTTGTTCATCACAACCCAATGATTATGTTCTTTAGTATTAGTGTTACGATATATTTTAGTGTGAGGTTTTAATTTTGATATTAAAAAAAAAACAGGCTTTTTTTAACAATTGACAGTTTTGTCATCCTGGATAATGGAGTCTACTGGGCAGGGCCATTTGATGACACACACAGAAAAACATTAATGGGACCCACTTTGCCTTTCTAATCACCATTCTAAAGGCGATTCCTCTAGTCATAGAGAGTACTATTTGGTTTCTATATTCAATGGTATAGAAGTTCCTAACTGATATATTTATTGGATCTACATGCGAATTGTTATTGCTACTTGCACAAGTCACAGTGTAGCCAGACATTGTTGGGCCCAATTGCATATTCTGCTCTGACTATAGTTATGCTTTTGCTTTTAGTCCAGGCTGTTCTGGCATACTGTGGATTAGAGAGAGAATGGGCGCTGTTGTGCCAACACACAGAAAGTCACGCAGCCCAGTTCCCACCTAGGGGTGCCATGTCAGCCTGTGTTTCCTCAGTTAACGTCCTCTCAGCCATTCTGCCTACGTATTGTAAAACATTGGCGCTTATGGTTGTGCAACATTAATATAAAGTAAGAATAGTTATCGGCCACCAGGCAAACATGTTGCTCAGAGTAAAAATCTATTTCTCAGGAGAACAAGCTGTGCCTGCTTTGTGTTTTCAGGCAGCATGTAGAAAATGGATGGTACCTAGCAGGCTTAAGCTGTCTTACCAAGAGCTCTAGAACATGCCTGAAATTTTAGAGAAATTGTAAACCGTCATCACTTCCAGCACTGCATTTCCTCCCCGGCATATCCCAAATGGTGATCTTTATATAAATATTGATAAATAAATGTACACAGAATGCAATGCTATTACTGGACATGCCGAACTTTACTATGTTTGTTTTACCTGAGAATGAGCTTTTGATCCAGTTTCTTGTGTCAGTGTGATTTTGGAACCAGAATATAGAATTTGCTATGGCCATCTGCTAATAATGAAATGACACGCATTTAGCCTTTATTATTTTGTCTCTCACTAATTCTTATTCCTTTCTAGTTTCAGCCAAAAGCTGCACCTTTGGATGGAGGCATACTGCTGACTATAATAGGCTCTAATTTGGGCATAAAATCAGAGGATGTAGAAGACATTAAAGTAGCAGATGTGAATTGCGTATTCAGGCCGGACAAGTACTCTGTTTCTACCAGGTGACTTTGTCCAACGGATTGTTCATACTCTTTCCTTAGCAGTAAATTCACAAGCCTTATAATATTGGTATCGCACATTTTAAGATCACACGATATCTGCATATGGTACTCTTACAGAGACCCTTATTTTTCTTACTGAGTGGGCTTATTGAACATACTTAATACTCTGCTTTGTTCAGATCCACATGAATAACCTTTTTAGGATTCCTGATAACTCTACATCACTGTGCTGTGTAATGTATCCTATCATTAGGAAAATTCTAAAGATGTGAATTACAGAGCCACATCTGAGAGCTGACTTCTCTCCGTTCCTCTCTTTATTCTTCTCATCCATTTTTTGCTATTTAAAAAAAAAACAGATTTTGCTTTGTAGCTATTACAACTGCTAAAGTGCAGTTTGTCAAACCATTGAATATGAAAATGTATTTTGTAGGTATGCCAGTAAGGGGAGGAAATTATTTTTTGAAGAACGGGAGTGGCACCATCTTTAATAGACAGCCCTACAGTTCACTAGCTGTCTATTGCCGTGTACCAACGGCAATAGATGGCATTCCTCTTCTAGGCTACTTGTCAGTGTTTACCATTTAGTAAGTTCTGGCACCTGACAAGGTAATGGTAATCGAGAGCCTGTCAAAGATGAGCATCTGTAATAAGCAGAACTTGTTCTCTTGAGTTGTTACACTTGTACAAATCTTCCACAGAGGGGTTCCTTATAATTTACTCTTCCTGCCAGAGCAGAAGTGTCAGGCTGTAAGGCTCTCCAATCCCCCTACTGTCATATGACAAAGGTACTGTCAGTGTTGCATTAAAAAAAGCTGATGGTTTTGTTAAATGACAGCTTCAGTTTCCTGCAGCAGCACACAAAGTATGTCAGCTGTCAGGCAGGAGACAGGTCAGCCTTCAAGGGGGACCTTATAGCTTACTACTGGGCTGACATTTCGGCATTGACAGAGAGAAAATACAAGTGAATAACAGCGAACATACCCCTACGCCTGAGAAGTAAGGCTGCACTTTTAAAACAACTTCATTAATCAGATGATTACAAATGCCCATTTTGTACTGGTTCACTTTAATTAATATTTATATATATCATTATTGGCATTAGTAAGGAAAGAGCTTGGCCGGCAGTATTCCTTTCTAATGTCATGCAGCAAGAATCTACTTAGCGATGACCTGTAATCATAGAGGGGCATTCAAGCTTTTTATGCTGTGCCTAAGCAGACACATATATCCTGTAAGTGGTTTGGTATGAATGCAGCTTTATAACATTTTGAGTAATGCTGTATTTATATAAAATTAATAAAGATGTAAAATTAATGTAAATATGTTATGAGCACAGTCAGAATTTCATTCAGTTTGCAGACATTTCTGCTGCCCATTCCCACCACAGGACAAAGGGCGTCCACCAAGTAGCCTTCTAACTCTCTTATCCCCAGTAGCCTTGATCCAGAGGCCAAAAAAGCTTATAGGCTTAGAGCAGTCAGAAGGAGGGGGGAGCCTCAGATTTCCCTATGTATGATGTGCTGTTCTTATATGTAGCTAGTGTTCTAGCAATGGAATGTGGGTATTTCCTTTGTAGAAAGCATTGTAAGACACTTTGTGAAAGTGACTTTGTGTCAGGAAAAGCCTTGAATAAATTTGTGTATTTGCAGTGTTCCTCGATAATTGTGTACATTTCTGTTATGAATAACTTAACAACATTTCATGGTGTGAGACACTACACAGATTTTGGAAGCTAGCACCTCTAAAAGTGGAGAATCACTGTCTTTCACTGTAGTATTTGCGTGCTCTTAATGAGCTAGTTTGTAGTAAATAGACTTTAAGTCAGTTCCTTATTGACAGATATTAAATATAGGGTATTCATGTCTGCTGAACGCTGCTGTGATACCAGCAGCAATACCAGGATTTATTATAGGCATATATGAGCACTATGTGAAACAGGTTCTGCTATAAAGGTGAAACTCGAATAATTAGAATATCGTGCAAAGTTCATTTATTTCACTAATGCAACTTAAAAGGTGAAACTAATATACGAGATAGACTCATTACATGCAAAGCAAGATAATTCAAGCCGTGATTTGTCATAATTGTGAGGATTATGGCTTACAGCTCATGAAAACCCCAAGAACCCCAAATCCACAACTATAAAAAAGTAGATTATTACATGCAATCAATAAAACAAGGATTGTACATAGAACAATATCGGACCTCTGAAAAGTACAAGCATGCATATGTACTCAGTACTTGGTTTGGGCCCCTTTTGCAGCACTTACTGCAATTACTTTTGCACGATATTCTAATTATTCGAGTTTCACCTGTAAGTAGGGCTTTGATACTCCTTTTATATGAATTGCTATGCTCTGTTCAGTTGAAGTCTTTTAAAGTAACACTTTCTAAATTGAATGTAACACTGGCACCATATTTTGCCATTATCACATCTAGCATTTGGTTGAAATTGTGCTGACAGGGAATGGCCACTCACTGTTTCATTTAGCTTCCAGGGTGGGTGGGGTCTGGCATCGTGCCCAGCTTACTGGCGTCACTGGTTGACAGGAGTTCGGCAGGACACCAGCCAGAGCATAAAGCTCTGCTCTGGACAACCAGTTATGTCAGTGAGCTGGATGGGAAGCCAGAGTGTCACAGGTTGCTAACAGCTCTTGGCAACCAGAGACACTGTGGTGGCCCCCCTGCCGCTGTCCCACCACCACCTGGCTGCCCCCCAATGAGATGCCGCCTGAGGCAACAGCCTCAGGCTGCCTCATTATATGATGGCCTTGACTGTTTGCCTGAAAATTTTTGGCCTGCCTCCTTCAACAGAAGTGGATTGAGCCATTAACTTTTAAGTCTGCAGGGAAATTTTGGCTAATTCTTGTGAACCGGCTACAATTCTAACAATGTATGGCCAACCTAAGGTTAGGGCTACACTTTGCTACTGAGAGGTTTAAACACTTGTTGGTAGTCATCTCTTTTGCAGCATTCTAAAATTAATGTGAAGCAAACAAGATGAGCAATTTAATCTCTTAGTAGCAGAGACATTTAGTCACTCGTGTGGCCCCCGGGCTTAAAATGTACTGTTTAGTGATAATGTTTTTAGAAAGCTGTTCAAATAATCATGTGTGCACATAGCTAATACTCGGCACAATCAGAGCAACACTGTCCTGTGACCCTGTGATGCTGTTAATCTGCGCTTTTTAAAATTAATCATCTCTAATACATAGTGTCCTGAGCTTCATTCTTATGAGATATATTGTGTAAATGTATTGTGAAGCATTTCTAACTGTCTCCTGTTACACCTAGGGTGGTATGCGAGGTGGGAAAATCGGATACTGAAGCAACAGGAAACATTGAAATAAAAGTGAAGGGGAAGTCTGGAGTATCACCAGGAAGCTCTACTTTCACATACCAGGTCAGTATAGGAGTGTATATAAAAAAAAAAAAAATCACTTTCAGTGCGATAGGCAATGCAGTCACTGCACTCAGCTGAAGGAGGTAAGTAGCCAATAAAACAATCAGACATGCACCCCTATCTCTTAGTTTATGTAAAGCCAACAGTTTTTTGCCTATTTATAACACCAATAACAAAGGAGAAATGTTGGTGTTACCTGAAGAAAACTATGAAGCAACTATGAAAGACCTGTTAAAACATTGATTGCACTTAGATATATAGAAGTCCACCACAGACCCTCCATGTCCCCTGTCTCCAGGCTTTAGCATGACCTTTATGGCTGTGTAAAAGCATCAAAGGCAAGCTCTTTGAGGGGAAACTTGTGATGAAAGGAATTCTTGGATTGATTTTTTTCTTCTGAAAATAGTATTTACCTGGTTGTCATACTAGTCTAGTGGCTTCAGTATTTTGTTACTGATCTGGACCAAATAGAAAGTTTGCTCAAAGTATTGAAGCCAGAGACCGCTAGGCAAGTAAGATCTTTAGTAGGTCATCAATGGAAGTCCACATAGATTTCTTTAAGTAACTAAAACATAATTACAAACATAGCTGTAAGGCAAATTATATTCGGTTAATTGCCATTTAGCAGCTGGCCAACTAAGGAGTCAAATAAGTTCCATAAAAAGCAGCACTCCTCGAGAATTCTACCGTAGTAAAAACTTTAATTGACGGATCCAACATTACAGAAACACACTGAAATGGAATAAACAAAAATATTCGCGCTGTTGGCTTTTCCACCCCTTTCCACAATTTGCCCCATGTTGATCCACAGACTTATGCATTTCACCCCTTGTGCTTAGTCATAGAGAATTCTCGTGGAGTGTGGCTTTTTGTGGAACTTTCAACATAAACGGCAGCATTTGTGGTAGCGTGCACCTGAGATACAGCTATGCTACAGTCAGAGTATGGGATGAGAGCGGTGTTTGTAAGGGGTCAAATAGTTAGGGTCATATACACTAGTCTAGCATGCATGCTAATGTGTACCGCCTACTGGCAGTCTAATGCACTACAGTGGACAAAAAAAATCATGCATGCAGCATTTTTGGCTGCAGACCACAATGCACGATAGTGTGTTGCAGGTGTGCTGAAAACGCATGTAAAGCGTGTTACTATGCACTATGTTAACGTTTATGGTTTATGGTAACATGCTCATTACCACAGCTTGGCGTAAATGTGCCCTTAGTCCCTGATCTGCAGGTGTCCAAAGCCACTGAAATCATAGAAAATGTATTAATATTAATATACCAAACATGGACGTACTGCATTGGCAGAGAGAAAGTCACAAATTATCGCATAATTGGATCGCGTAGTATCAAACCCAGCTTGAGCAAAACAATGCTGAGTTTTATGACATTTGTATGCAAATGTCTGTGTATATAAATTTGCTTTCTGCAACTCTGACAAAAGTTTTAGTATAATAGTCTATTTTATAATTATGTAAAGCTTCAGCTCATGAAAGTTTTCCATTCATGAACAACGATTCTTTTCTTTTCTGTGACAACACTCAGGAAAGTGACAGGTAAGAATGCTGTAGGACCTGATCTGTGATGCTTATTGCTCAGCTGCTCTAATCCTTCCCTAGTTCCTATCATAACTAGAGGCAATGTAAATGAGTTTTAGACTGATGCTGACACCACTGCATCAGCTTCTTCCGATCTAAGCTCTGTGCTTCCTTTGTGTCAGAGGATACTGTCATTTTCAAATGAGGGTACCAACAAGCTGTCGACTTCTCTTGGCCCCCTTCCTAGTGCGTACAGGAAGTGTGGAATTTCTGATGCTCTCTGGCATGGTAGCTCTAGATCAAAGCTGACATCTGCCCTTTTGGGACTGCAAGAAGCTTCTGTTTGCTTCTTCTTTCATTTATGGAATTCATTAATGAGGATGCTTTATACCAGTTGTAAGTTATCCACTGAGTATCTATTTCTCCAGGGAAAAAAAAGTGACATTGGCATGGTTGGAGGTCAACACACCAGTCTATAAAAACCAAAACAATACATATTAACGTTTGATTGCCTTTAGATGCACACAAGTTCCCCACTGACCACATCTCATCTGTCTCCTGCTTTGCTACAGTACCTTATCATTATGACACTGTGAGCAGCAGAGCTAGGCTGGGGTAGCTGCACTTTCTGCAGCTTTTGTATGATGATCCCATTGCAGATTATAGTCAACATTTTCACTTTATACTGGTTTATTCAAATACAAAATGCAATGATCTAAGGGTTGAATGGGGGGTTTAGTGTAGTATGCTTTTGGTAGATAAACAGTACATTTTATAGAGGTCTGTACATCAGAGCAAGAAGAGGGACAACTGAGGAAGATAAAGGGACAAGGGGGATTTGGTTCCAAAATCGTGGGATAGTTAAGAGCTATGCTTTCAGATATGATGAGCATGATGTATCAGAAGGTGAAGATTCACTCTCTCTCTCTTTGTCCTGGTGACCAGCACTGAAAGTTGGGGAAAATCTAAAATTTGTAGTTGTCACCAGAACAGAGAAATCTTCTAGTAGGAACACTTTTTCTGGTAACAACTGTTTTGGAGGAGACTTCCTTTATTTTTAAGAGATTTTCTCTTACTTGTTGTTACCTTAGCAAGTAAGGAAAAGCTACCTAGTGGCAAAAAAACAAAGGGGTTTTTAACTATCTCCCACTCCATCCAAAATGGCAACAACAAAAAAGTTCTCCTATATACTTTCACATTTTATACACAAAGACCATTGTGATGGTATATTTTACTAGTTTTGCTAAGGGTTCCATTAAATCATTGGCATTGGGTCGCCAGTCCTGTTACTTATGAGTGCTAGATCTAAAACTCTGTCTCATCACTAGATTGCATGACTTAAAACCTCTTGTTTTTAATTTCTAGCTTCCACAACCTAAATTGGTAAGACCGCACGAAGGCGTGCTTGCTGGGGGCACACACATAACGATAACTGGAGAGATGTTGGAAACTGGATCTCAAAGTGATGTCCGAGTGACTCTTGATGATATCAACTGTGAAGTGTATGTAAATAACTGACTTTAGACGTCTGTTCATTCTGTGTATTTTAAGGTGATATGCTTGTAGAGAGTCAGAGTTATTAAAGCATAACCGCACCTTTCTGGTAAATATCATCCTGTAATCTTGGATAGTATAATAACCTCAGGTTTCGATTGTCAATTCCTATAGCATCCAATCAGATTCGCATTCCTTATCACAGAGTAATAATTATGGATAATATAGATTACGTACATTCTTCTTTAGGCACATTTATTACTGGTCTTGTTTGTGCACCTAAAAGCTATTAAAGTATATTCTGTGCTCAGTGAGAATCAATAAGGCTTAGCTTGTTGCCTTGTATAGTAGTTATTATGGAATAATGTATTTGGGCCCATTCAGATGGGCGTGCACGTCGGTAAAAAGACCTGATCCCGGAAGGGACAGGTGCTGCGTGTAATTGCGCACAGCAGCCTGTTCTTGCCTATGGGAGGATGCGACTGCATGCAATTACACGCGGTAACATGTACAGCAGAACCTACACATCTGTGCAGGTCCTGGTGCCCACATTTTGATGCACACTGTTTGCATCCAAGTGCGGGCAGCCGAACCTGCACAGGTTCGGGTATGTACGTGAATGTGTATAATTGCGTGCAGCCGCATCCTCCCATAGGGAAGAACAGGCTGCTGCGCCCAATTGCACGCAGTACCTGTCCCTTCCGGGATTGAGTCTTTTTAGGGTTCATTCAGACAATTACATGGTCTTCTGTGTGTTTCATATCTTTAGAGACTGCAGAGAGTCTGCATTCTTTTAGACAGACCCTGTTTGGTAGGCCTGCATTAAAATAGGAAAACAAGGAAAAATTGCAACCAGGAAGCAATGAAAAAAAAGAGAGCAAGCCTTGGGATAAAAAGACTATAGTTGCTCCTTAATAGATGTTTCCATTGTATAAAGGAAACATATTAAACATTTCCCATTGTATGTAATGAGTGCTTTCAAAGCCTCTCTTGTCATGACGGAGACAAAATAGTTTTGTTTTTACAACTCTTAGTCTTTCGCTACTTTAACTCTTCTCGCTGTCCATTTTGTCAGAGAAGTGTTTTTATAGCATATTCTAACAAACGGATTCATAGTTTGCAGGTAAAACCTTCCAGAGACTCGGACTTTTGTTCAGGAATTCTGGCCGCTGTCGTCTTTGGGAGAGTTAAGTGGGTCAAAGTCTTGCAGAGTCGCAGAAACCTGAATGAAACATGAGAATTAATTAGGAGGGAAGGGAATTCACTGTCTGCCTGGATAAACAGAGCAGAGGAATTTGTTAATGCAATGTTAAGGGTATTTTACAATAGGGAATGTTTTTTTTGCAACAGATCCCTGCCAAGTTATGTTTAAAAGGTTACACTAATCAGGGCAGGAAATTATGAGCGCATCTGAAAGATTTCACTGTCGAGTAGAAAGATATTTGGCATACTTCTTTGTACTGTACTGTGTCTAGGAAGATGTGATTTTAACTCTTTCCATTCTGGGTGATGGCAGACCATTTCTGTCTGGCACTGTCTCTCTAAAGAGAATCCATTAGCTTCTTGAAATACAACAAAGACAACTTGGCTTATGAAGGAAATTCTGGGGGGTTTTTGTTCGTAGCGTTTCCTTATAACAGAAACATAATGTGTTTTGTATGCTGAAATGTGCCAGTCAAGTTATTTTTACACTACTGATATTGCATGATTTATCTGATTTTTTGGGGGTCAGATACTTTTTGGAATGCTATACCAATGAAGGGGTTACTGTGCTACTCGCCAAAACCTTTGACTCCAAACTGTGCAGGCAAACTTGCCAAATAGCTCCAGCTGTCCCCGTTGTATTCCGTAGCATTGCTTTGAGATTTGCCAATTTGGCTGGGGAGATATAAAGTGATTAGCAACAAATGCTCCATGATTTTCAATTGCCTTTTAAATTATAAGTAACTTCAACCAAGCCCACTCCTATTAATATTCACCTCTATAGTTCTCTGTTCAACAAATAACAGAGAAGGCTTATAGACAATTTTTTATGCGGAATAAACTTCAATGCTCTTCTGTGGGATAAAGTACCACCCTGTGTAATTTGTAAGGATATAAGGATTAACCATGGAATTCCATTACTGTATAAATGACAAAGCCATGCGAGTGTTCACTCCTATTATCTTTGTAATTCATTGTAAAAGGGGGATTATTCCTTATAATGCACTAAAACTAGAGCCTGCACTGGCTTCATGATATTAGTCATTGTCTGTCATTGTCAGTCTGATTCCATGAGACAATGATGACTAGACATATGCAGTGAGGGTTGGACAGGGATGTCGGGGTAATTGTCAGGTAAAAGTCCCTGTTTTGTCACTTAAAGCTAAGCGCGACATAACGCTCAAGACAAGGAATCCCATTTATTTCTATGGCCCTGTTCACACCTGAACATTTTGTCACAAGCACAAAAATTACTGTCTCTGGAAAAAGCATGTGAGCTACTTTTTGGCAGATTACAGCACTTTTTGGTTTCATAGACTTCATTGGGAAATGGTGTGCGACAAAACATGCAAAAACGCTTCATACACGCAATACCCATTGAAGTCTATGGGACCAAAAAGTGATGTAATCTGCTAAAAAGTAGCTCATGTACTTTTTCCATTGACGGGCATTATTCTGCGTGCGACAAAACGCTGAGGTGTGAACAGGGGCCATAGAAATTAATGGGTTTCCTTGTCTTGAGTGTTTTGTCACACTCTAGACAAGCGAATGGGATTCCTTGTATTGAGATTTTTGTCACTCTTCCCTTTGAGCAGTGCCTAGGTGTAAACAGGAGCTTAGGCTTTGGCTGTGCTATGATAAGCTACATCCTCCTTAGCTATTACTCCAGCTACTTATAGACGACTGCCTGGATTTGGTCAATGTAGATGGGGCTTGCCACACCTGCTGGCTTTGCTTGATACAGTATTGAACAGGATGGCCCTGAATGCCCTGTTTGTCAGGGTGGATTTGATTTAAATCAAGTCGATTTAAATCACTAGTAAAAAGGCTTGATTTAAATCAACTCGATTTAAATTATAATCTTTAAAGAGCAACTGTCATCTCTGTCCCGCAGCAGCTCCTCTGACCCGCTGCAGGCTCACCGACAGTCCCATTCACTTTAATGGGACGGCTGGTGATGCGGCTGTGACACACCAAGGTGAGGGACGTGGCGGGCAGCAGGTGAGTGGATTTGCAAAACAATGGAATAAAGGAATATTCCTGAACTTTGTTTTATGATTTATCTCATGGTTACTTACTTTGAAATTGTGTGAATGCCTCAATGCAGTGCATGTTAACTCAGCTTGCAGAGCTCGGATTCAGTGAAATGAGTTTACCAAAAATGTAAATATTGCAGAATATACGGCCTCATGTTACATAACTAAGCTCCATTGCATGCTGAATAAACTAAATTTATGAATGTATCTTAAATAGAAAACTATCTTGAGATAGATTTTTACTCCAAAAGCATTTTATTCAAATAAGTTTGATAAAAATCAAAAAAATCCGATTTAATTAGAAAAAAATAATCGATTTTTATCCACCCTGGTGTTTATACAGTTATAGTTTACAGGAAGTGTCATTAAACCTGATTGGGTATTTGATGAGTTAGGCTATGACCTCTCCATAACAATACTATTTGTGTTAGCATATTGGCAGTTACTCATCTTATTAGGTGCGTATGCTTTTGTTACTGTATAATACAGAGTCCTTTAAAACAGAAAGGAAATAGGAATTACGGCTAGTAATAGTCACAGAGTGGCACAAATGTAAATAATGATTCTAGGCCACTTCAGACACCTCAGGGAGTTATTCCATTTTATTGTGGAGATTACAATTGGGGATCGTTTGAGGAACATGAGAATAATGTACCATGCACTTTCCAGATAGGGGATCTTTTATTGCACCAAATCTTTAATAGCCCAGTCAATGCTGTAGATACATGCGAGTTTCCAAATGGATATAATAAAACAGCAGAGCTTATCACTTCACTCCTGAAAATATGCAATTACTAACAGTCATTGCTGGATCTGTTACCACCGAATACGCTGAAAAAGAGCAAACCTAGCAGGCACAGGTCTGCTTTAAAGCTTTTACTTTAAAGTGTAATGTGGATGACTCTTCTGGGGCTGTGTTTGACCTGGTTTGCCTAGTTTGTTTATTTTTTGTTTTTCTGGATGAAGCAGGTCCCGTTGTGATCCAAATGCATTGCAGGTCAAAAGTAACCCCTGCTGCTGTATAAGTTCTAATGCATGTGTTTGAATGAAAAGGCTATGCAATCCCTAAAGTTGGCCATACACCTATAGATTATCTGCAGATTTTCTATGGCCAGATGGAAAAAGGGCAACAGATTCCTCCATCTACGCTAAACTGTGTGGATGGAGGAATCCCCACTGGCTGTTAAAATACCTGAACAATCGGAGTTGATGCAGGCACTGTTCAGGTATTTTGAGAGCCAGCGGGGCCGACTAGTAAGATACTGAAGCTTGCCCCAGTGGGAGATTCCTCCAGCCACACAGTTTAGCGTAGATTGAGGAATCTGTTGCTCTTTTTCCATCTGACCCATAGAAAATCTGCAGATAATCTATAGGTGCATGGCCTGCTTTACAGATAGATATTTATGAATATATTGTTTAGTAAAGAACTCCGGTGAAAATTATTAACTGTTGCAGTGGGCTACCCCATGTGTTCATTTTGGCCTAAGGAGGAAAATAAAAAAGTTATATTCACCTGAACCTCTGAGCCGGCTTGTTCTTAGACCAGTCCCCGGAGCCTCTCTTCCCCCTCCACTGTAGCGGTCTAAGGTCCTGTATATCATCACGTTCTATACACACAGTATAGAACGCGAGGGCGCTTACGGACATTCCATAGGAGGAGAGAGGCTGGAGGGAGCTCTGTCTTAAGGTGGCCACTCACTTTACAACCCTCGCAAGACTTTTGTCTTGCGAGGGTTGTAAAGTAATTTAAAAAACGTACGATCTGGCCATCTTGGACAGGCAGATCGTACTTGCGATCATCACAAGCCCGCCGCGCTGAGGGGCGGGCTTCCGATGACTGCAATGCTGAATGGGCTTGCGCACACCGGCCCATGCGGCAGTTATCTCACGATCATGCTTCAAACCAGCCGAAAACCGTACGATTCTCGCCTGGTTTTCAAACATGCTCGAAATACAAAAGTCGTGCACAGTTGAAACGGACGCACACCTTCCATACACTGCAAGATTATCCTACGATCGCGGGATTTCCCGCGATTCTCGTACGATCGTGCAGTGTATGGGCACCTTTAGCTGGCCGGCTTCAAGGATCGGGTGATTATAGCTTTATTTTCCTCCCTAGGCCAAAACAGTGGCTGTGGCCACATTGAGTGGTGCTCATTAAATGAAATTCTGAAGCCAAAACCAAAAATTAAAAAAGGTCAGAACCGAAAAGTATTTTTTTTTCTAAACTTTTTATTTTTTTTATATTTTTATTTATTTTTTGATAAATATTTTTATCTAAACTTACCCCCGATACTTCCTTTTAAAATAGAAAAATAGATTCAGGACAGAGTCCTGAAAAGGAAGTGATGTAGCGCACTTCCTGTTAATCCATAATTGGAGACACAGTAAACATACCGTGTCCTCAATTATGTACAAGCAGTCAGAGATCTAGCCTGACTCGCTGTCCCAGGAGGCTGAGCCGGCAGTGTGGGGAGAAGAGCTCGGTCTATTTTAACAGCTAACTCCTCCCCCTCAACGCCGTCTCGTGCTCCTGTGACAGCACATGGCTGTCTCCACCCCCACACCGCTCTCTGTCCTGATCAGTCACAGTGATGTGAGCGGCCGTTGTGTCACAGGAGGCCGGGCTCTCCTCCCGCAATGCCCCCCTCAGCCTCCTGTGAAACACCGGCCGCTCACATCACTCTCCTCCCCCGCACCGCTCGGCCTCCTCTGACAGGTTCTCTCCTTCGTGCTGGAAGCTGCGCTGTGTCAGAGGGGACACAGAGCAGTGCACAGCGGTGAGGAGAGAAACCAGACATGTACCGCAATTTCAGCAGAAAGATGGCACTTTCGGCCAAAATTTCGGTGCATCCCTAATTTTCTATTATTATTATTAACATTTGAAATAACAAAGTATCGTGTTTATGTAAACTCATTTAGTTGAATTACATAGTATTTGAGGTTGAATAAAGACATTAGTCCATCAAGTCCAACCTGTTAGGATCTCATTCTAGGAGTACCTGTACCCCTGTATATTGCGGTCCCTTAAGAAATCGTCCAAAAGTTTCTTGAACAATTCCACATTATTTGCTGAAATCACCGCCTGTGGCAGAGAGTTCCAGACCCTAACTGATCTTACTGTGAAGAACCCCCTTCGC